CCCAAATTTTTTTTTTTTCATGCTATGCATTTGGGGTTGGGTTTTTTGGTTGGGGTTTTTTTTTTTGTTTGGTTTTTTTTTTTTTTTTTTCCCAATGGCCCTGGCCCATCTCCTTTAAAACTGTCAGTGGGGAAGGAGGCATCAACTAATCTCCCTATAATCTTTATTTATCCTTGTGCATAGCACTGCACATAGGAATGAGGTCAGTAGAGGGAAAAGCACGGGTGCACTGGGAGGTCACCAGTGCTCCATTCAGCATGGATCAGGGTTATGGTGCAGTAATAAAAGTTCTTGTAGTTGTGCAGAAATTCTACAACCTCTAGCAGCTGGTCACAGGAAGAGATTGATCTGATGCACACTAAAACGAAGGAGGAGGGTTTTTTGAGCATGGAAAGCTCTAACAGAGGTGGTGTTATCTGCTGCTCTTACAGAATTCAGTAAAAGTTGAAATCTCCATCCTGGGGGAAATACCAATATTTTGGTGTCTCTCTGTGCCTCAGATTAAGCCCAAAAATGCGTGATCCAGTTTAACAGAGTAATTTTCATTTGAAGCTGGAATGGCTGATGGGTAATGTTAGTTTTTCAACTCAATCATTCTAACTTGGTTGAGCATCCCGTTTAAACGTTGTGGGAATGAAATATCTCAAATTTTCATTTGGGTTATCACAGAATGATATGGGGTTGGAAGGGACCTCTGGAGATCATCTAGTCCAACCCCCCTGGCAGAGCAGGTCCCACCCAGAGCAGGTTGCACAGGAACGTGTCCAGGCAGGGAAGAACAGCCAGGTGATCCCTCTCTCCAGAGGACCGTTCCCCTCCTGTGTCCCGGAGAAGGAGGCAGCGCTCGGAGGCTGGGAAATGACCCTGCTGTTTCCTTGGTCTTGCAGGCGGCTGGACTCCAACGCTTTGCTTTGTGACTGTGACCTGATGTGGCTGGCAGAGCTGCTGAGGAAATATGCCGAGCAGGGCAGCATCCAGACAGCAGCCACCTGCGAGGCACCACGGGACCTGCACGGCCGCTCCATCGTCACCCTGACCGCCCAGGAGTTCAACTGTGGTGAGTGAGCTCAAACCCTTCCACTGGCCACCCTCAGCCCAGGGAGTTGGGTTCTGGTCTTGGGAATCTCTTCCTCCACCCCATTCCCTCCTTCTTCCCTCCCCTGGCATCCTGCTTTCTCCCTCCTTTTGCTGCCAGAATGGAAAAGTCCCAGTGGGCTCCCACCAGTTATCAGGAGAATGCAGAGAAAGTCTCATGGGGGTTGGAAGCAGCTCTGTTTTGGCTGGCGGGGGTCAGCTTGGTTTTTAAATAGAGTAGGTCTAGTAAAGGACCTGCTGAGGCCAGTGGTTAAACCAGCAACCAGAAGAAACAACTTTAGGTCCTTTAAAGGACCTAAAGGACCAGTGGTTAAACCAGCAACCAGAAGAAACATCCCACCTTGGGATGAACAGAAGGGAGGGCTGTAAACACAGCTGGAAACCTACACGAACTCTTAGTTGATATGTAGCGGAGGGCTTTGTTTGGCTGTGGCCATGTAGTGATGTTTATGTATTAGATGATTTCTCACTGGAAAATGCAATCTTGAAATGAAAGGGTTTGTTCTGAAAAATTTCAAATTTAAATATGTCAGCTAGAGAAAGACAAAACTCCAACTTTTAAGTGCAGGTGTCAGCGGAGGGTGGCACAAGAGCTGGCTGTGGTTCCCTGATGCTTTGTTGCTGGTAGAGTCAGTTTGAGACATTCCCACTGGGCCGGGCCAGCTCTCAGCATCCCTCCTGGATATGTCAGTCCAGCTGTGTGCCTGGCCACGCAGTGAGCCAGATGTGTGACATCAGTTGGCTTTTGAAGAACCCTCCCTTAAATTCTGATTTTCTCCTATGATCTTATTATTTAAAAAAAAAAAAAAAATCTTGACCATTTCACAGCTTAATTTAGGGCAGAGCCATGCAAAGAATTGGCACAAAGGGGTCCATAACTTCAAGGCTGGCGGGGCCCGGGGGGGGGAATAGGAAGGATCTAGAGAAAGCAGCTGGGGACACATGGAGTGGGATCTGCTGCAAGTGGATGTGCCGCACGACGAGCTGTCCCCGGCACACACCCGGTGCCACGGTACAGCCGTTAATGTAAATTTGTTCTGGTTTAGGCATGGGCACACAGTGGGGTGTCTGTCAAATTAGCCAGAGCACCTGGTGGGAAGGTTTTGCTGGCATTAGGATTTTATGCTGGTATGGTGCCAGCTGGGGAAGACAAACGATGTATAATTCAGCGTGGAGCTCTGAGGATGCAGGCAGCTGATATCTGAGTCGGTACGAAGCCTCCTGACATCGAGTTAACCCACTGCTTTTTTGGCAGATATGAGCCCAGCGGAGTAAATCTGCGCTGGAGCAGCATTTTGTTACCATGGGGCTGTGCTGGGTTTGGTCCCACACTGGCATTGCCCCTGGAGACAAATTGCCAAGCCACTAACTTGTGGTGTAAGGAATAAGGGCACAGACCTTCCACTGGAGAAGGTGGCGTGAGCCCAGCGGAGCAAATCTGAGCTGGAGCAGCATTTTGTTACCGTGGGGCTGCGCTGGGTTTGGTCCCACACTGGCATTGCCACTGGGGACAAATTGCCAAGCCACTAACTTGTGGTGTAAGGAATAAGGGCACAGACCTTCCACTGGAGAAGGTGGCAGGTTCTCACTTCATTTTATGAATAATCCAGCTGGTTTTACTGGATTGCTGGAGATGGTACACATTGTTAGATGGGTAAGTCTTCTGCTGAATTGAGATCAAGCGTTCCAGATCACGTACATAAGTTCCTTCCCATTTTAGCACATCCTTTGAATGTTTGACTTAGTGCTTGAGTACATCTTAAAGTCAAGGTCCCTTCCAACATGACAGTTCTGTGATTCCATGAAAGTGGCATTTTTCAGTGAGAAATTATCTAAGTGTAAAGAATAGCAGTGTAAGAAACGCAACACATTACCACAGTCAAACAAAACCTTCAGCTATGTATCTACACGTTGGTGAGAAGTCTTGGGGTGGCTCTGAGAGGGTGCCATTGTCCAAGGGCTCCTCTAGTTCCTGCTCACTCCGGGGTTGCGTTACCCCCTACACCCTGGTTGGGCTGTAGGTGCTTTTGTGCTGCTCTAGACCGGGTTGTATTAAAACTGTCTTTTGCAGAGAGGCCTCGCATAACCTCCGAACCCCACGATGTCGACGTCCTCTTGGGAAACACGGTTTATTTCACCTGCAGGGCAGAAGGCAACCCAAAGCCTGCCATTATTTGGCTGCACAACAAGTAAGTCGCACATAATGAGCCCTGGGGTAGCAAAGGTTTTCAAGCACCGAGCTCTTTAGTGACTGCCTGTAATTACAAAAGCTGTTTCATCCAACATTAAAAAAAAAAAAAAAAAAAAAAAAAGAAATGGATTTTCCATGGGTTGTTTTTACCTTTTTTTTAATAGCGTTCTCTGGTGACCACATAATCCAAGTGGTGTTTTCATCTGCATTTGAAATGTTTCATCTGCATTTGTAATGGATTCCAAGAGCTTATAACTTTCCCATAAACATGCTCTGCAGGCTGAAAGCAATTGTCTTTTGATCAGAAAAAAAAATAAAATTAGTATTTCATGTTGCTCTAAGCCACCATGCTTGCCATTTATTAACTGCTGAAATACTTCTAGTCTCTTGGTTTTTCTCACTGGAGGCCTAGCAGGCTGGGAGAATGGCTTTTTTTTTTTTCAAAGGGAAAAATCACTGCGCTCCACTGAAAGGCAGACCTTGCAAAGCAAATTCTCATTCTATACAACAACGCTGAAAAAAAATATATGGCCATGCTGGATGCTAAATTGTTTCTGGGAAATGCTACGCAATAAAATATTCTGTACTCAAGCAGTTGCCCACTGTGGAAGTGAAGTAACTTTGCTGCTTTACGAGCTTCTTGTCTGTGGGAGCTTGAATAGGGCTCGGTTATTAATAAAAATGATCAATGTATGCTTCTTCAGCTAACTCCCCACCAGGCAGAGTTTCAGCACGGAGCAAAAGTTTATGGCTGAGTTAAGTCCCCTGGAAGGAAGGTTTTGTTAGGGAAATGCTGGCAGGCTCCCAAAAATAGCATTGTAAGAGGGGTAATGATAATAAATGTTCCGCAAACGAGATATGACTAGAGCGAGGAGACATCAGGGGAATTAAATAAATGCCCAGCAAGCATATTAGTTTGCATAGTGGATTCAGCCTTTGTCCTAGGGGGAGAGAGGTCCCTTCTCTCTCTTCAATCATCTGCAGCCGTCCAAGATTCCTTCGTGCTGGGACAAATGGGATGCAGCAGTGGGACCTTCTGCCGCAGGCTTGGATCCAGGAGTCGCAGGTCATTGTAGAAAGAAAGAAGATGTTTCACAGCTCTTGGGTTGGGTTGGAGTCCAAGCTGTGCTGGGGTCCCACAGTGACTTACTCAGAGCTTTTTGCCCCCCCCTGAGGCCTTTGAGCCCATTCGGATAGAAACGGCTGCACACAATAACAATATTAATTCATTATTATATTTGCACTTAGTCAATAATGAGAACAAGCTTTGTGGGCCTAGATGCCCTGACAATAGCAACGATGCTATTGCATGGGAACAGTGTGCTCTCCCCACGGGCTGTAAACGTCGTATGTAATCAGTGGTGAGAGGAAAAGTAGCTCACCCAGGGAGTAAAGCAGAGCTGGAGCTGGAGTTCAGTGCAGTAAATCATAACTTTTGCTGTAAATTTCGTGAAGTCTCAGAACAGCTCCAAGGAACACCAACTTCCTGCAGTGCACGCAAAGCCCCACCAGCAGCTGGAGGGAAGACCAATGGTCTTTTCTCCTTTCAGACTTTGCCTGTTTGTGGCTGTTTTTCAGCAACGAGATTGACATGAAAGATGACAATCGCCTCAACCTCTTGCAAGACGGTACCTTGATGATCCAGAATACCAAGGAGTCCGACAAAGGCGTCTACCAGTGCATGGCCAAGAACATAGCTGGGGAGGTCAAGACACAAGAAGTCGTTCTGCGCTATTTTGGCACCCCATGTAATTGAGCCTTGTGCACCTCTTGAAGGCCCAGCTCGGGTTGGGAAGAGAGTGGCCAACGGTGTAGTGTGGTCTGAGCTTTAGGGGGTTTCTTCATGGGGTAGAAAACTGGGGATTTAGAGATTGAAGGTAATTTGGGGCTGGAAAGGGAGTTTGGAGGCTGGGATGAATTCTGCAGCACAGAGGTATCATGGGTGAAGGAGACACAGGAGTGGGGATGCTCCAGCACTAAGTGACCAGCTTGGGGAGGTGGTAGGAAGAATTAACCACAGTCAAACAAAACCTTCAGCTATGTATCTACACGTTGGTGAGAAGTCTTGGGGTGGCTCTGAGAGGGTGCCATTGTCCAAGGGCTCCTCTAGTTCCTGCTCACTCCGGGGTTGCGTTACCCCCTACACCCTGGTTGGGCTGTAGGTGCTTTTGTGCTGCTCTAGACCGGGTTGTATTAAAACTGTCTTTTGCAGAGAGGCCTCGCATAACCTCCGAACCCCACGATGTCGACGTCCTCTTGGGAAACACGGTTTATTTCACCTGCAGGGCAGAAGGCAACCCAAAGCCTGCCATTATTTGGCTGCACAACAAGTAAGTCGCACATAATGAGCCCTGGGGTAGCAAAGGTTTTCAAGCACCGAGCTCTTTAGTGACTGCCTGTAATTACAAAAAAAAAAAAAAAAAAAAAAAGAAAAAAAGAAATGGATATTCCATGGGTTGTATTTACCTTCTTTTTAATAGCGTTCTCTGGTGACCACATAATCCAAGTGGTGTTTTCATCTGCATTTGAAATGTTTCATCTGCATTTGTAATGGATTCCAAGAGCTTATAACTTTCCCATAAACATGCTCTGCAGGCTGAAAGCAATTGTCTTTTGATCAGAAAAAAAATTAAAATTAGTATTTCATGTTGCTCTAAGCCACCATGCTTGCCATTTATTAACTGCTGAAATACTTCTAGTCTCTTGGTTTTTCTCACTGGAGGCCTAGCAGGCTGGGAGAATGGCTTTTTTTTTTTTCAAAGGGAAAAATCACTGCGCTCCACTGAAAGGCAGACCTTGCAAAGCAAATTCTCATTCTATACAACAACGCTGAAAAAAAATATATGGCCATGCTGGATGCTAAATTGTTTCTGGGAAATGCTACGCAATAAAATATTCTGTACTCAAGCAGTTGCCCACTGTGGAAGTGAAGTAACTTTGCTGCTTTACGAGCTTCTTGTCTGTGGGAGCTTGAATAGGGCTCGGTTATTAATAAAAATGATCAATGTATGCTTCTTCAGCTAACTCCCCACCAGGCAGAGTTTCAGCACGGAGCAAAAGTTTATGGCTGAGTTAAGTCCCCTGGAAGGAAGGTTTTGTTAGGGAAATGCTGGCAGGCTCCCAAAAATAGCATTGTAAGAGGGGTAATGATAATAAATGTTCCGCAAACGAGATATGACTAGAGCGAGGAGACATCAGGGGAATTAAATAAATGCCCAGCAAGCATATTAGTTTGCATAGTGGATTCAGCCTTTGTCCTAGGGGGAGAGAGGTCCCTTCTCTCTCTTCAATCATCTGCAGCCGTCCAAGATTCCTTCGTGCTGGGACAAATGGGATGCAGCAGTGGGACCTTCTGCCGCAGGCTTGGATCCAGGAGTCGCAGGTCATTGTAGAAAGAAAGAAGATGTTTCACAGCTCTTGGGTTGGGTTGGAGTCCAAGCTGTGCTGGGGTCCCACAGTGACTTACTCAGAGCTTTTTGCCCCCCCCTGAGGCCTTTGAGCCCATTCGGATAGAAACGGCTGCACACAATAACAATATTAATTCATTATTATATTTGCACTTAGTCAATAATGAGAACAAGCTTTGTGGGCCTAGATGCCCTGACAATAGCAACGATGCTATTGCATGGGAACAGTGTGCTCTCCCCACGGGCTGTAAACGTCGTATGTAATCAGTGGTGAGAGGAAAAGTAGCTCACCCAGGGAGTAAAGCAGAGCTGGAGCTGGAGTTCAGTGCAGTAAATCATAACTTTTGCTGTAAATTTCGTGAAGTCTCAGAACAGCTCCAAGGAACACCAACTTCCTGCAGTGCACGCAAAGCCCCACCAGCAGCTGGAGGGAAGACCAATGGTCTTTTCTCCTTTCAGACTTTGCCTGTTTGTGGCTGTTTTTCAGCAACGAGATTGACATGAAAGATGACAATCGCCTCAACCTCTTGCAAGACGGTACCTTGATGATCCAGAATACCAAGGAGTCCGACAAAGGCGTCTACCAGTGCATGGCCAAGAACATAGCTGGGGAGGTCAAGACACAAGAAGTCGTTCTGCGCTATTTTGGCACCCCATGTAATTGAGCCTTGTGCACCTCTTGAAGGCCCAGCTCGGGTTGGGAAGAGAGTGGCCAACGGTGTAGTGTGGTCTGAGCTTTAGGGGGTTTCTTCATGGGGTAGAAAACTGGGGATTTAGAGATTGAAGGTAATTTGGGGCTGGAAAGGGAGTTTGGAGGCTGGGATGAATTCTGCAGCACAGAGGTATCATGGGTGAAGGAGACACAGGAGTGGGGATGCTCCAGCACTAAGTGACCAGCTTGGGGAGGTGGTAGGAAGAATTAGCACTGGGGGAATTGCTCACATGGAGGATTTGGAGGTCAGGGAAGAGCCAGGGGACTGCTAGGTGGGCTGCATGAGGAGTCCGAGCAATTCTTGCCCATAACTGAGGAGGCAGCAGGGCTTCTAGTTTCTGAAGCACTCATTTCCTTCCAGCCAAGCCCACTTTTGTGATCCAGCCGCAGAACACTGAAGTACTGATTGGGGAAAGCGTCACCTTGGAGTGTGGGGTCTCTGGGCACCCCCACCCTCGCATCAGCTGGACCCTTGGCACGGGCTCTCCTTTACCGCAGGATTCCCGTTTCGCTATCACCAGCTCTGGGGGACTCTTCATTCAGAACGTCACCTTCTCAGACCAAGGACAATACAACTGCAATGCCAGCAACACTGAGGGATCCATCCAGGCGACAGCAAGAATCATAGTGCAAGGTGAGGAGTCCCAGGCTGATGATTTTTCTGGGATAAAATGCTATCTTTAAGCCCTGTGACTGGTTCTGCTCCCACGAACTGAGAATTTACCCAAAATTGTTCCCTAAGTTTTTCCTGCTGCTCAGTCATTGCTTTTCCCTCCAGATTCTCCCAGGTTTCTTCTCACCCCCACTGACCAGACAGTGACTGAGGGACAAAGTGTGGATTTCCCCTGCTCTGCTGAGGGTCACCCTCCTCCTGTGATTGCCTGGACGAGGGCAGGTACTGCCTCACTTGGGGTTTCTTTCTCTTCTGGGCTGCTATCCATGGGGTGTGGGTGAGGAACAGCCAAGCTGCTGGTCCAGGGTAATGACTTGCAGTGGTGACAGAGGACAGATGGTGATCAGCACAGCCCTAGTCACACTAGGAGGTATGTCAGAGATCACCAAGGATGACGTTAAGCACTGAGGAAGGAGCCTCTTAGGTCTTTGACACACCAAGTCATCATGACAGAAGGAAGAAGTGTGCTGGTTTTCATCAGTATGAAAACCCAAGGAAAGCCTCAAACTTCGTCCTTCCTCCTTCCTTTGAAAAGGCAGGGTCTGGACACTCCCAAGTTGGTGGAGATCACCATGTAGCAGGTCTCCATCATCGTCATTGATTTGCTTCTCTTGGGGAGCTCATTGCAGGAGGGCACCATTCACTGCTGACATAATTCTGAGGTTCCTTTTAGTTTAGGAAAGACCACTTTGGGTCAACAGGTGGTGGTAAACTTTTAAAGTCTGTCTCCATCATAGTCATTGATTTGCTTCTCTTGGGGAGCTCATTGCAGGAGGGCACCATTCACTGCTGACATAACTCCGAGGTTCCTTTTAGCTTAGGAAAGACCACTTTGGGTCAACAGGTGGTGGTAAACTTTTAAAGTCTCGGATGATTGTTAGTGCTGGCTCCACTGAACTGATCCCATCCAACACTTTCTGGGACAGAAGCCAATAACTCTTGGCCCAGAGGCCCTCCAGCTTTTCCTTATGCTTCACAAGCCATAATTAATGGTTTAGAGCTGCAGAGAATTCGTGGCTATTGTTTTCCAGCTTCCACAGCAATAGCCCTGACGTGGAGTTATGAAGGACCAGCTGAAATTCTCCACCACCATGTTCTCCATCTCCTTTAACCTGTTTTCCTCCACTGCCCAGATTTTAGAATATATCTCTTAGAGATGTGGAAAGGAGCACAGTGACAAGGAGTAAGGTTAATAACTGCTTTGCAGCCAGGTTTGCTGGGTCACACAGCAATTCAACGATCAGCCAGGCTTTCAGTGCTTTCACAGAGGGCTTGCTAAGAGCAAGACAAGAGGAGGAGAAGTGATGGAGCATCGCTCATTCTCAAAACCACTTTTGACAGTGTGGGGAGGATTCAGATTCCTTTTGGTATTTGGGATGAATAAATAGAGGCCTTATTTGGAGGCAAAATGGAATATTAAAACAAAGAAGTCACTAAACTGAGAAGTTCTAATAATTCTGTTTGGGTTTGGTAAAGCATTTTAATTTTGAACTTTTCTCCTTAAATAGAGGAAATATTGAAACGACGCAGTTTCCAAACCGAAGAAAATCAAAATACCAAATTAAAAAAGACAATGCTAGATGTTTCCATGTATTTGATTAAACAGCCAGTTTGGATAATTAAACACAGATTTGCTATCCATCAGGTGTCAGCAAATCTACAGTTTGCACTAAGAAAAGGCTTACAAGGAAAGAAAAAGGGGGTACCAACTCCTTTCCAGTTGCTCAGACAAGACAACTCAGTCATGATCCTGGGGGTGGGAGGAGCAGCATCAATCCTGTTCCTCACTTAGCGAGATGAAGATGGCATTTCAGGGTGGCTGATGTCATGTTAGGGAAAGAAATGAACTTTTGAGCTGTCACAGATACCTCCAGTGATGGGAAGAGGGATCTCACTGACAATTAACAAAAATTCCACTGCTTGTTTGAGCAGGTGGGCCACTGCCGAGTGACCGGAGGCACAGCATCCTCTCCACGGGTACCCTGAGGGTGATGAGGGTGGCTTTGCATGACCAAGGCCAGTACGAATGCCACGCCATCAGTGCCATCGGGGTGAGGACCCTCCCGGTACAGCTGTCGGTGACCCCACGAGGTACGCTGGTGAGGCTGTGGGAAATCAGGGCTGGCAAATGAGCATCATTAATTTAACGTTATGGTAAATGACACACTGACAAGGCAGGGAATCGCCCTGGTTCCTATGGGAGGGGATTTTGCTTTTCCCTGGGAGCAGATGTCTAGCCGTGAGAGCTCCATCAGTTGGTGGGAAACTTCAAGGAGGTTTCCAGAGTGCCAAGATTTATAAAGTGGAAGAAACTGCTTCAGTTTTCCTTGGAAATTTATCTGATAGTCTAGAAAAAGTATAACTGTGGGAATGAAACTCAGCTGGTGTGACCAGGAACGGGATGGGATCGGTGGGCACCTGCAGGAATAAGCACTTGGGCAGGATTACATGATCAGAAATGACCTTCAAAGCCCGTCAGATGAGCCCTGATATCCGTTATCTGGCCAGTTTGAGTGAAAAATGGGGCCCTTTAACGAGTTTGGGAGTTGTTATTATGAAAATTATTTTGGTAAAGGAAAGAAAACAAAGAATTTTTGTCAGGAACTTTACAAAAAATTGTATTAAATTCTTAGCAATCTTTCTTTTGCTACTTTTACATTTTAGCCTTCCTACAGCATGAATTGTAACATTCTTTTCTTAAATGAAGTGTTGCAGAACAAAATGTTTCCTTCTCAGGAAGATTTAACCCTGGTTCTGGATACAGTTGTCTTAAACATTAGCTACCAGGTCATAGGTTCAATCTAAATTTAGATATTCTAAAATCAAGCTGCTCTAAGATACAAGTCACACTTGTAAGTTTCTTTTCTGTTCCCATATAAATAATTGTTCTAAACAAGCAAATGTCCCTGCTCTTTCACAAACATGGCAGGATTTTACTAATGGTAAACTGGAGGGAAGGAAACTACCTAGAAACATGAAATTAGCGCTTCAAGCACAAAATTCACAGAACAGTTTAGGACCAGCAAGATCAATGTAATTATTTAATCTAATCTGATTAACACCTGCCAGAGAGCCTCCTCCTGTTCATGATCCCTGTTTCAGCTGGAGCATCTTTTCTAGAAAGCCTTTGAATTAAAGATTTTAAATGACAGAGAGCCCAGTGCGTTCCTATGTAATTGCCCCAAGTAGAGACCCACAGAAGCAGGAAATAACGAACATAAATTACAGAGGACTTGGTGGAGAGAGCGTGGGTGAACTGACACCCCTTTGAAGAGCCCATGCAGCTCTGGTTTCCCCACGCTGAGATGTTTTGCACTCCGATTTCTCTATTTTTCAGTTTTTTTCGATTTCATTTCTTGCACTTGTGACTTATTTCCCCCCCGTGTCGCACAGTGATACCCGTGTTCCTTCATCCCCCCCAAGACGTGGTGGCAGAGACGGGCCAGGATGTTGCCATTACCTGCGCTGCCCAAGGAGATCCACGGCCCACCATAACCTGGGTCAAAGTAAGAGATGACACCGTGTCCTCAACTGTCACTGGGAAGCGGGATGGCTCCTCCAGGGGGGCATTAAAGGACTCTCACATTAAACGCCCCTCCCAGCTCAACCAGTTGAATCCGTTTGTGCAATACACATGGAAGGAATTGTGTTTGATGAAAATTTAAGGACCAATATTTCCACTGATTTGGGTTTTGTAATGATCTGAAAGAATGCTGCTCTTTCCCAGTCTGAAAGCCTTGCAAAGCACATTCCTGTTTTCTCTTGTTGTTTTTTTCCAAACAAGTAACTTGAAGCCGGTGACCTTCCAGGATGTTAGAAACGCTTGATTGACTATTCCTGGAAAAAAATGAAATTTGGGGTTTTTTTTCTAAGTAGTTGATCCTTATTTCCAGGATTCCCACTGGTGGAACAGGATGATGCTGGTTGGCTCCAGCTTTGATGGGGCAAGGCACAATCCCCCACAGTCATACTGTAGCCTGGCTGCTCTTTTCGAGAATTCATTAGATGAAGCTTTTCAGATGTTTTCCTGCTGTGCTGTAGTACACCACCTGGGACCTTCCCTGGGACCTGTCCCACCTGTGTCCCCCATTTTTCAGGGGAAAAATGCTTGAACCTCAGTTACCCTGCAGAGGGTCTCATGGGATGTGACCTTGCAGCTTGCCTTGAGCTCCAGCCAACAGTGGGAGCAGAAGAAAAGAGCCTGGGAGGGCTCTAGCGTGGGGCAGGGCAGCAGAAAGGTGTTAAAAAATGGGAGAATAAAAAAGTCAAACCTGAAGGCCACTTCTGCTACCAGCCAGGTTGAGAGGTAGGGTTGAGGGTGCTGCTCGTGGCAGCCCAGAGCCAGTAAAAGCTGGTACCTACAGCTCAAGGCCAGCAAAAATCCATTGGTTTCATGTTGGCCCAAAATTGAAGACATTTAGACTTTTTAATGTGCCATGAAACTTCTATGACAGTGTCAGGGCACAGCACTTGCTCCAGCCAGGCCATCTGTAAGACATGCAGGGAAACGCATGGGGTGTCTGTGCCCCACAGTGAGTGCCTGGAGGTGGACCAGGGCGAAGAAGCTGAGCAAGGACCCCCTTGCAGTGGGTTCAAGCCGGAGCAGATGTCCTCGGATGGCTTTCTGGTTTCTCTGGAAAGAGCAATGCTAACATCTGGTGGCCACTTTAGCTCATGGCATCTGTCTGCGGGTTGGCTGAGCAGGCTGAAGGCTGGGGTGGTGGGAAGCTTTCTGTACCTTGACCCCTTTTCTGTCTTCTGATGGTGCAACAGGAGGGGATCCAGATCACGGAGAGCGGCAAGTTCCACATAAGCCAAGACGGGACCCTTTCCATTCAAGACCTCGGCGTGGCAGACCAGGGCAGATACGAGTGCATAGCAAGAAACCCCTTTGGCTTCACCTCCAGTGCTATGCAGCTCACCATCACCGGTAGGGTGGCTCCTGTCCTCCTCCTGAGTCTTCTCCTGGTCTTGTGTAATGAGGGGCTACACTGTGTTGCTGCCTACACTTTGAAGAGATAACTGCTGTAATTTCTTTAGCTTCTTTGCAGACAGGTCCCTTGTAGGAGCAATCAGTGTTGCTCCATTGTGTAAGCCCATGCACCTCCCAACTGCTCCTCGCTGTTTTCTAAGTTGAGCTGCAGGTTCATGTGCTCTGGCAGCCCAGAAAGCCCCCTGCACCCTGGGCTGCATCAAGAGAAGTGTGGCCAGCAGGTCATGGGAGGTGATTCCACACCTCTACTCTGCTCTCTTGAGACCTCACCTGGAGCACTGTGTCCAGCTCCAGAGTCCTTAGCACAGGAAGGACATGGACCTGTTGGAACAGGTCCAGAGGAGGGCCAGGAAAATGATCAGAGGGATGGAGCCCCTCTGCTGTGAGGACAGGCTGAGAGAGCTGGGGATGTTCAGGCTGGAGAAAAGAAGGCTCCAAGGAGACCTCAGAGCCCCTTCCAGTCCCTAAAGGGGCTCCAGGAGAGATGGGGAGGGACTCTGGATCAGGGAGGGGAGCCATAGCATGGCGGGAAGGGTTTTAAACTGTAAGAGGGGAGATTTAGGTGAGATGTGGGGAAGAACTTCTTTGCTGTGAGGGTGGTGAGAGCCTGGCCCAGGTTGCCCAGAGAAGCTGTGGCTGCCCCATCCCTGGAGGGGTTCAAGGCCAGGTTGGAGGGGGCTTGGAGCAACCTGGTCTGGTGGGAGGTGTCCCTGCCCAGGGCAGGGGGCTGGAACTCGATGATCTTTAAGTCCCTTCCAACCCAAACCATTCTATGGTTCTTCCCCAAAAGCCAAAGTTTTTTCCTTAAACCACCTCCCTCAAGCCGAGCTGTCGGTGTGTGTGTAGTCACTGCCTCTGCTGGGAGGGAGAAACTGATTAAGATGTGCCAACACGCTCAGAAGTCACTCTCTGCCCGTGACCTCGCCTGCCGGGGGAGGGAGAAGGAGAACAACGTTGTCGCTGAGAAGATGGGGTTTTAAATGTTTGCTCAGTCCCTCGGGGGTGGGAAATGAGGCGCTGGTTTTCAAGCTGCTGCTCCGTGCATTAGGGGAGCTGCGATGAATAAAGAGGAGCAGAGCTCCTCCACGAGCCAAGCCAGAGGTCGAGAGTGGAAATTGTCCTTCTCAGAGGGTGAGGAAGAACTGACGTGGGGAAAAAAAATCAAAGGCGAGCAATAAGGTTAAAAAATTAACTAGAGAGCTATTCCTTGAGCACCAGCATGAATAGTGAGTGGCTTATTAGGTGAATTTAGTATCATCTTCTATACAGGGATTGTATGCAAGGAGCTGAGAATAATTGAAATTCTTTGTTGTTTGAAATTATTCCTGAGGTAATTTCTGTGATTTATTCTTGATTGGTACCTCATTTTCCAGCCGGCTATTGCAAACACTGGTAGCCAAACTGGAGCTGGTTTGTTCAGCTGTGACAAAGACTCTGGCTTAAAACCTGAGTTCTGTAGTAATTGTTAAGAATTCATGTGGTTACTTCTGAAGATATTCAAACAACAGCTTTCTTTTTTGTTTTAAAATGACGTTATCTGATGTGTTAGTGCTAAAGTTGAACTGAATTAGAAGTGTTCCACAAATGGAAAATTTATGTATGAAAAATACATTTAAATGAATGTCATGAATTTTAGACGTTTCTTTTGTGGGAAGCAAACACATTATTTTGGTTTAACCCGCTGTGATTTTCACATTTTCTTTTTTTCCAGTTCAACCACCAACCAAAACAGGCATTGATTTGCAAAGCTGTACAGGAGCAAACTCTGAATATGTATCCCATAGCCATCTCCTGAAAAAATAACTTTCTTTTTCAGGCAGTTAATTTCTTCTTCAGAATATGTATTAAAAATTAAAAATAAAAATTATTGGTGTTTATGTTGAAAATGGAAACAGTGTTTGATCTGCAGTGGAGTAACTCTGAGGCTTGTACTGGTGCACAGATTCCTTTGAGCTTGGAAGACAAATTAATATCAAAGTAAATTTATCATTTTTTGTCCTTTCTTTCTGCTTCGGAAAGCCACGGATGTGGGTCGGAGCGGCGACACGTTTGTAGCCACGTCGCTGCGGGAAGCCATCAGCAGCGTGGACCACGCCATCAACTCAACACGCACCGAGCTGTTCAGCAAGTAAGTGTGAAACGCTGTGATCTGAGACTTCAAACAGAAAAGAGATTAAAAAAAAAAAGACAATGAAGCTTCCTCAAACCTCATTTTATCATTGACAACCCGCAAATGAAAGCTATAGTATTGTTTTGGGTATCGGAGGTCGAAGCTGCACCACATAGATGTGAGGATGTGATAGAGCTTCGTAACAAGCATTTGGGATTCTGGAAATATCTGATACACAAATATCACCTCTTATTGGCACTTATATCTGCAGCTTACATTTTGTCAGCTGGAGCTGGCTCCAGAGACGGGGCATAGAAAAGAAAATAATCTCCATAGTCACTTTATAAACATAACTGACTTCGTGGAGGGTGAACAGAACTAATAATACAATAATTCTAATGATTTCTTCAATGAAAAATGACTTCCTGAGTGAATGGTAATTCCCTCCTCTCCCACCCCAATATATGTTTTTATTGAAAAGGAAGACAGTTTGTATTAAGCTTAAAACCTCTGGGTTTCAGCTGTTGAAAAGTGAAAAATAAATTACCATGGCAGAAGAAAACAGAGATGCTGAGGAAATTAAATATGTGTGTTTTGCTGGGGAAAAATATCCTTTCTTTAATCATCCGCAATATTCGGGCAAGTCACCTTGTTCTTATGCACTAATTTTGGGGGTTGAGCACCAGACCAGGCTTAGAGCCTGACTCCTGCTTCCTGTGGAGACTCATTGCCCTGAACAGTGGATTTTAATGCTCCTGCATCACTTCTAACTCCTCGAAACAGACGTCCCAAGACGCCCAATGACCTGCTGGCTCTTTTCCGTTACCCCCGGGACCCCTACACCCTTGAAACAGCCAGGGCTGGTGAGATCTTTGAGAGGACCTTGCAGCTGATTCAGGAGCACGTGCAGCAAGGTCTGATTGTGGATATGAACGTCACAGGTAGGAGAGATTTTCTTTCCCTTCTTCACTTTGTGTGCGGGATTAAATTAAAGCAACAATTGTAGTTATCCAGAAAGTTAAAAAAGTGCAGTTTTGGGTGTGTCTAGAAACACGGTGTCTGGGTTGCAATGCTCTCTTCTACCTCATGGGTTTCATAACATCCTCAGGTCTTGGGGTTACCCGGAACACAGGAAAGTGATTCATTTCCCCGTTTTGCTAGAGATTTCTTGACTGGCTATGAACGCCCTAAGCTTTAAAAATATTTAGTCATTTAACTCACAAAACAGTACCTTCATGGATCTGAGGCTCAGTCCCTCAGCATCATGGTCAGAGATGTTTCCAGCCCTCCAGGTGGCCATGAGAATAATGCTGAAAACCATGGAGTGTCGGGTGCTGTAAGAGAGGAACATCACTCCTGACTTTCTCCTCTGTCTCTCTACTGCTTTGACCTCTTCACTACAAACCCAGTCGGGTTCTAGCCACTCAGCTTCCTTTTATTGAGGCAGGATAGTGAGCAGTAAAGCAATATAATGCCAAAAATAACTGGTGAGGTCCAAGCATCCAGCAGCTGGACGCCAAACCTTGCTAGCTGAGACTTCCTTGCTATACAACAGACATTCCTACGTGTTTCTACCTATACATGTGAGTCATCATGGAGCAGGCATGTACGTTTGGGGCCTGTAAATATTTTTGCCTGCCTGGATGTATTCCTGGCTGTGAGGAGTCTCTCTCCAGGCTGCAGGTCTCGTCTGGGCTGGTCGGGCTCCCAGCCTCTCCTCCTCCTCGCCTTGCCCAGCATTATTCAGCGCTCTCGCGTGGCACAGTGCCCTGGCTGCCACCCACAGCTTCCCTGCTGCCCGTCACGTAGGGTTTGGGTGGTCAATGGTGCTCCAGGTGGCAGGAATAACCCAGAGAGATGTAAAATAAACCCAGGGTGGAGACCGAGACCACCCCGCAGTTTGGTCTGCAAGTCATAACATTTCTGGTTTCCACCTCCGTGCAGTTTATACTGAACTTTTTTCCCCCTTCTTTTCTTCTCTGTGGGCCTGGTACAATGCCAGGCTTCGTTTATTCCATCAAATCCATAGCAACACCACGATCCTGGTCTTCCCGTGCCCACCCTGACAGCCCCAGCAGTGGGTTTCACACAGAGCCCTGACACGGGGTGGTGGGAACCAGATGGCTACAGCGGCCGTGGTCTGACCTGGTGCTTTTGCCTTCTCCTTGGCAGGCTATCGGTACAACGACTTGGTGTCCCCTCACTACCTGAACATGATTGCCAACCTCTCAGGCTGCTCTGCCCACCGCCGCACCCCAAACTGCTCAGATATCTGCTTCCACAAGAAGTACAGGACCCACGATGGCTCTTGCAACAACCTCCAGCACCCAATGTGGGGTGCGTCGCTCACAGCCTTCCAGAGGCTCCTCAAACCCGCCTACCAGAATGGATTTAACCTCCCCCGGGGTTTTTCCTTGGCAGAAGATGCCAGGGACCTGCCCCTTCCTCTACCCCGCCTTGTCTCCACTGCCATGGTCGGGACTGAGACCATCACCCCCGATGACCAGTTCACGCACATGCTCATGCAGTGGGGCCAGTTTCTGGACCACGACATGGACCAGACGGTGGCAGCCATTAGCATGTCCCGCTTCTCTGATGGAGCACCCTGCAGCGAGGTGTGCAGCAACGACCCACCGTGCTTCTCCGTCATGGTCCCCGCCAACGACCCCCGCGTGAGGAACGGGCGCTGCATGTTCTTCGTCCGCTCGAGCCCCGTGTGCGGCAGCGGGATGACCTCCCTGCTCATGAACTCCGTCTACGCCAGGGAGCAGATCAACCACTTGACGTCTTACATCGATGCCTCCAACGTTTACGGCAGCACAGAGCAGGAATCGCAGGAGCTGCGGGATCTGAGCAGCCAAAACGGGCTGCTGAAGCAAGGGCAAGTTGTGCCGAGCTCGGGGAAGCATCTCCTTCCCTTTGCTGTGGGGCCACCCACTGAGTGCATGAGAGATGAGAACGAGAGCCCCGTGCCGTGCTTCCTGGCTGGAGACCACCGTGCCAACGAGCAGCTGGGTCTCACGGCCATGCACACGCTTTGGTTCCGGGAGCACAACCGCATTGCCACCGAGCTGGCGGTCCTCAACCCCCACTGGGATGGAGGCCTCCTGTATCACGAGGCGCGGAAGATTGTGGGTGCCCAGATGCAGCACATCACCTATGCCCAGTGGCTCCCCAAGGTCCTCGGGGAAGCTGGGATGAAGATGCTGGGTGAGTACAAAGGCTACAACCCCAACATCAATGCGGGGATTCTCAACGCCTTTGCCACTGCTGCCTTCCGCTTCGGGCACACCTTGATCAACCCCGTCCTGTACCGGCTGAACGAAACCTTCCAGCCCATCCGCCAAGGCCACGTCCCCCTGCACAAAGCCTTCTTCTCCCCTTTCAGGATCACCCAGGAGGGTGGGATCGACCCTCTCCTCCGCGGGCTGTTTGGGGTTCCTGGGAAAATGCGGGTCCCCTCTGAACTCCTCAACATGGAGCTGACGGAGAAACTCTTCTCCATGGCACACTCTGTCTCGCTGGACTTGGCTGCTATCAACATCCAGAGAGGGAGAGACCATGGCATCCCACCTTACAACGACTTCAGGGTCTTCTGCAACCTCTCATCTGCACAGGAGTTTGAGGACCTCAGAAATGAGATAAAGAACTTGGAGATCAGGGAAAAGCTCAGGAGGTACTGTAGCCTGGACTTGGAGGTATCAAAATGACTGGAGATCAGTCTGTGAGACATTTCTGCTCCTCCCAGGACACCCATCAAATAACCTTCCCAGATATTTCTTCCCACAGATGCTAAGATAGGGTAATAGCTGTGGTTTAAGAACGGGGTAAAACAAATGAGGTGTCTCCAAGTGATCGGTCTGGTTCTGAGTGGAACGTCATCAAGCGCTGCTGTGGTGTAGTCTGGGAGCAGATTGAGCCTTGGGGCTATTTTCCAGTGAGACTAAACTGCACCCCATCTGCACTGGCTGCCTCTTTCCAGGGCATTGTCTTTTAGATAAGACCATTATAAATATTGTCCAGATGAGTTCCTTACATACAAATTTCCTATGATGTGATCAGATTTATTTTATCTCCACTCTTCAATAGTCAGTTAACTTTTGGTTTTTTATTATTACCTCTTTTCTTGCAGTTTATATGGAACTACTAAAAATATTGACCTGTTCCCAGCACTGATGGTGGAGGATCTTGTCCCTGGCACCAGAGTTGGACCAACACTGATGTGTCTGTTAACGACGCAGTTCAGAAGGCTGAGGGATGGAGACAGGTATTATCATCAGAGTCAACCAGAAGTCGTCTTCTGTTTGGGGGGATTTGCTCCCTGTGAGCAGGAAGAGAATTCGTAATTTTTTATTATTTCTTGTCTTACGATACGAGGAAGGGTCTCCTCTGTCCAGTGCATTTGTGAAAGGACTCATCACAGTTACTGTCAATGTGTCCTTTCCTGATATAATGATTCTCGTTTCACTGCAGGACATTGAGAATGTGCCCAATGTCTCCTGAAAATGCTAAAAAATATCTGCAGGCCCTTCCTTCTCATTCCTATTTGCTACTTGTGTGAATAATAAACGTCTTTGCCTGATGATGCACTTAGGGCAGGAGCATTGTTCACCTGTGTCTCAGCCTGCTTCAGCAGAGCTGTCTGAGCCCCAGGGTTTCCCTGCCAGGGGCTGTACCTGCAGGTGGTGGCACCTTGCAGCTCTGACCAACCGGATCCATGGGTTCAGAAAAGGGCAATCTATGTTTGCCTGACACCAGAATAAAAGCTCCTTTTGAGGAGTGTGGGTGCTGCCACAGAGATGTAGGGGAGATCTTGTCCCTCTCCCAGCCTCGGTCCCTGTCCTTCTCTCCTACTCCTGATTCATGCCCTGATTACAACCCACTGCAGATTTTGGTATGAGAATCCCGGAGTCTTCACGCCGGCGCAGCTGACTCAGATCAGACAGACGTCCCTTGCTCGTGTCATCTGTGACAACAGTGACCACATCCAGCAGCTCCAGAAAGATGTCTTCCTGGTGGCGTCATACCCACAGGGCATGGTTGGCTGTGATGAGATTCCCACGGTGGACCTCCGTTTGTGGCAAGACTGTTGTGAGGGTAAGGAATGAGGCTGCTCCACCACCGACTGACGTGGGGATGGCTCTGGGTGGCATTTGTCACATGCCACCAGCTTATAGGTAATGCCAGGAGCTGGTTTCATGGTACACCATGAGAACCGTGTGTCAGCAAATAGATGCATTCAGGAGTCCAACTGCCTGCCCGCTTCAGGGCTGACCAAAAATTAAAGCAAATTTCGAAGGGCATTGTCCAAACCCCTCTTAAACACTGACAGTGGCCAAAGGTCCACCTAGCTGAGGGCTTCTGTCTCTGGCAGCAGCTAATAGCTCATGCTGGACCAGGATGTAGGCACATGGTGATCCCTATCACATATCACTTTACAGATTCAGTTTGGAGCCTGTATAACTCTTCTATTAAACCACAGATTGTCCCTTTGTGCTATATTCTGGCTGCAGATGTCCAGCTGAGCCATGGGAATCCATGAATGATGGATTACACACCTTTGTTGCCTCCTCCTCTCCCACACAACAGATGTGTTGAGGGTGGATGGTGAAGGAGGGCAAGCGCTGCCTTGTGCTGCCTTCAATCCACATGGTTCTGCTTTAAACACAAATGATCACCACAGACTTTCCCTTCCTTCCCAAGACTGCCAGACACGTGGGCAATTGAGGGCTCTTTCTCAGCGGTTCCGAAGCAAGAGGTCTCCTGGCTTCAGCTACCCAGAAGAAAACCCTGCCAAGCATAAGGCTGCCTTCCCCAGGTGTAGTATCACCATTTCTTTTACCTCCATTTGATGAAGCATAAGAAAATGTTTTAATAACTCGGTCCATTCGGGCCTTTGAAATGGGCATTCTGCAGAGGTCCGGAGGTCAGGAGCATTTCTGTAGATAGATGCTGAGCTTGGTCAAAGTCCTCCAAGACTTTAGTGCAGAGCCTGACTGATATTTAAATATCTGGGCTGGGTGGCTGTTTAGTTGGCATCTCTTGGCAGGTGAATCTGGGAGTTGGGCCCTTCTGTTTGGTGCTTACTTGGAGGCTGATATTGGAGAAGGCAGAATGATTCTGTCTTCCAGGGAGCTTCCCTTTGCATAATCCCTTTTGCTTCTTATCCCTCACCCCAGAAATGAGGCACCTTCTCCGAGCCCTTCCTCCAGAGAGAATCTCGAGTCTCTTGTGGCTGAACTGGAGAAGACAGTTGCTTCCCTACGGAAACAGGTAAGACTTTGTGCCCCAACTCTATGGAGTCACCCCAGGAGTAGGATTTAGCTATTTGCTATGGGCAGCCTCTGTGACTTCTGCACCCTCCAGAGCCAAGGACAACCATCTGATGGGAGGGAAGTAGTGGCAGGCAGAGAAGCAGGAGAGTAGATGAAGCTGAGCTCAGTGAGCTCGAACCTCCACAACTGCAGGGTAAAACACAAGTCTGAGCCTCAACAGAGGGAACTTGGGGTGGTGCTTTCTTCTTGTGTTTGGGACAGGTTGGAGACTATCTGTGCAAGGGTGCAGGCTCCTCTTAGAGCTGCTGCTTTCTCGTCCCCACCAGGTGAATGCACTAGAGAGCCAGCTGAGGTGGCACCACAGGAACACCAGCACGCACGGACAGGGGAAGAAGACCGGAGAGAAAAGGAGAAAAAGATGACCACATTGCCTGTTCGTATTAGGTCAGTGTGTTTCTTTTGGGCTGGGGTCCAAGATGGGAATCAATGTGGTGCTGCTAAGCCTATGGTGGGATACCTGAGCAGTTCACATGCAAAAGAGACTGTTGCAGAAAGGACTGGAGCAATCTGGTGATGCTGGGACAAGAGGTAATAGGCTTGAACACAGCAGGTGAGACACTCATTCCTACCAGTAATGATCAGTGACTCACTGGAATGGGTTGTCTGGGGACGTTGTGGCGTATTATCCATTCCTGGAGGTCTTTTAAGAACTGGTTTGGCAAAGATGGGGAAAGACATAAGTATAGGATGGACGAGGTGGACTGGGTGAGGTTTCTCAGGCCTATTCTCCTGGGACTCCAGATAGGTTTCTTCTAGCAACACCTAATATCCCAACCCCAAAACCCAACAGCCTGCAAAGGACCTTTGCGGGGAGAGATACCACGGAGCACAGTGATGGAGTAGATGGACTGGTTCCTTCTCAGGACACCTGGGCAGATGGGGCAATCCATCATTTGCCTACATATTGACAGAGACTTCCCCCTCGACAACTGAGTCACTGTGTACCTCTCTCCTGAAAGCGCCAGCCCTCTGTTTGCTCGGCTCCAGACGAGGGGGTGAGGATGTTCAGGTGCATGTTTAAGGTCACTGGCAGCACCAGGCCAGCCTGGAGACCTCTAATCCCCTGTGTTTAGGGCCATGGAGAGCACAGGCTGAGGTTCCTCAGCCTGCTTTCCATGGAGATCCCTCCAGCCTTGAAAGAGAGGATGCACAACTAGCTGGCACCTGCCAGTCTGCAGGAGGTGTTTAAGGGTTTTTACGTGTTGCAAATGATCACTGCAGGGACAGCAGCAGAAGAGTTACACAGAAGCTTTGCTCTGGCAGGCAGTCTGAGCTAGAAGGAGCATCTCCTCGGGAAGGGAGATTACAGGAGAGGGCAAGCAGAGGCTGCTCTGTGCTGATAATCTCAGCAGAAAGCAGAAGGGGAAGCCTGGCGAGTGGTCATGCTGGTTTCCAGTCTGATTTGGTGTGTTGGTCCGTACAGATTTTCCAGCTGAGCAGCGGTTCTCCTGGAGAAATTTGACATAAATCACAGTGTGAGACACAAGCTGGCTTTTCCTTATCATCATTTGCAGATCCCCGCAGAGCACCCTAGGTTTTACAGGGTCCCTGAAAAGTATTTCTGTGGTTTTAAAGGGCTGTTGCTGGTTTTGTGCTGCCCCAGACGTGCCAGGCACTGTAAAAACAGCTCACTCTTGCCTCCCATAGAATTTTTCTCTCTTCTCTGCCATTCCAGGTGCCCTGTGACCTGCACTCCTGCCCTCCACCAGCCAGCCCAACCCACTCCTACAGGGCTCAGAAACAGCAGCCACGAGACCCCACGATGCTCTGCCTCCCCTCACACCTCCTGCACCTCTCCCTGTCCCAGGACAGCTCTACTTCTGCCTGTATCGAACCCTCTGCACTGTCCATGAGCCCCTCAGCCCCCGGACCATTCCCCTCTGGGGATGGGGACAGACCCAGCAGTCTGCCAAGACACCTCTTTCTTCCATGGTCCCCAGGAAACAGAGAGTAATTGGAGCTGCTTTCGTGCCACCATTCCACCCTCCTCCTCTTCCCACGCAATGCTGTCACCATCCACCACCCCTTGTCTGAAACATCCCACGGGCACCCAGCTGAAACAACTCATTAAGAGGCAAACATTTCTCAAATGTACTGTGGTGCCTGGAAGCATCTGGAGAAATCTGAAAAAAAAAAAAAAAAATAGAAAAAAAACCAAACAAACTTTGGAACCCAAAACAACCCCCCCAGCCATCTTCTCATGCCAACAGAAGGAACAAGAGGAACCTCAGGGCCCTGGCAAACGCCGTTTGGGCTGGGCTCACCGTCCCTGCCAGCAAGCACGGAGGTGAAGCCAAGGCTCAGGGAAGTCTCCCGGCTGTTTGGGTGATTTGGGATGGGGTGCCAGACCCGGCGATGCTGAGATCAGCCGCTGTGCTTTGCCAATCATTGGGTAACGAGCAGCGTGCCCTCGGTTACACGACCCTGCGAGTGACCTACCATTACGTGCCCGCTGCTCAAAAAACATTTTCCTCAGCACGACTTGTATTCTCCAACTTTCTGCCCCTTTTGGGGGGGAATTAATTTGATTTAGTTTCTTTTGGGCTGGGGTCCAAGATGGGAATCAATGTGGTGCTGCTAAGCCTATGGTGGGGTACCTGAGCAGTTCACATGCAAAAGAGACTGTTGCAGAAAGGACTGGAGCAATCTGGTGATGCTGGGACAAGAGGTAATAGGCTTGAACACAGCAGGTGAGACACTCATTCCTACCAGTAATGATCAGTGACTCACTGGAATGGGTTGTCTGGGGACGTTGTGGCGTATTATCCATTCCTGGAGGTCTTTTAAGAACTGGTTTGGCAAAGATGGGGAAAGACATAAGTATAGGATGGACGAGGTGGACTGGGTGAGGTTTCTCAGGCCTATTCTCCTGGGACTCCAGATAGGTTTCTTCTAGCAACACCTAATATCCCAACCCCAAAACCCAACAGCCTGCAAAGGACCTTTGCGGGGAGAGATACCACGGAGCACAGTGATGGAGTAGATGGACTGGTTCCTTCTCAGGACACCTGGGCAGATGGGGCAATCCATCATTTGCCTACATATTGACAGAGACTTCCCCCTCGACAACTGAGTCACTGTGTACCTCTCTCCTGAAAGCGCCAGCCCTCTGTTTGCTCGGCTCCAGACGAGGGGGTGAGGATGTTCAGGTGCATGTTTAAGGTCACTGGCAGCACCAGGCCAGCCTGGAGACCTCTAATCCCCTGTGTTTAGGGCCATGGAGAGCACAGGCTGAGGTTCCTCAGCCTGCTTTCCATGGAGATCCCTCCAGCCTTGAAAGAGAGGATGCACAACTAGCTGGCACCTGCCAGTCTGCAGGAGGTGTTTAAGGGTTTTTACGTGTTGCAAATGATCACTGCAGGGACAGCAGCAGAAGAGTTACACAGAAGCTTTGCTCTGGCAGGCAGTCTGAGCTAGAAGGAGCATCTCCTCGGGAAGGGAGATTACAGGAGAGGGCAAGCAGAGGCTGCTCTGTGCTGATAATCTCAGCAGAAAGCAGAAGGGGAAGCCTGGCGAGTGGTCATGCTGGTTTCCAGTCTGATTTGGTGTGTTGGTCCATACAGATTTTCCAGCTGAGCAGCGGTTCTCCTGGAGAAATTTGACATAAATCACAGTGTGAGACACAAGCTGGCTTTTCCTTATCATCATTTGCAGATCCCCGCAGAGCACCCTAGGGTTTACGGGGTCCCTGAAAAGTATTTCTGTGGTTTTAAAGGGCTGTTGCTGGTTTTGTGCTGCCCCAGACGTGCCAGGCACTGTAAAAACAGCTCACTCTTGCCTCCCATAGAATTTTTCTCTCTTCTCTGCCATTCCAGGTGCCCTGTGACCTGCACTCCTGCCCTCCACCAGCCAGCCCAACCCACTCCTACAGGGCTCAGAAACAGCAGCCACGAGACCCCACGATGCTCTGCCTCCCCTCACACCTCCTGCACCTCTCCCTGTCCCAGGACAGCTCTACTTCTGCCTGTATCGAACCCTCTGCACTGTCCATGAGCCCCTCAGCCCCCGGACCATTCCCCTCTGGGGATGGGGACAGACCCAGCAGTCTGCCAAGACACCTCTTTCTTCCATGGTCCCCAGGAAACAGAGAGTAATTGGAGCTGCTTTCGTGCCACCATTCCACCCTCCTCCTCTTCCCACGCAATGCTGTCACCATCCACCACCCCTTGTCTGAAACATCCCACGGGCACCCAGCTGAAACAACTCATTAAGAGGCAAACATTTCTCAAATGTACTGTGGTGCCTGGAAGCATCTGGAGAAATCTGAAAAAAAAAAAAAAAAATAGAAAAAAAACCAAACAAACTTTGGAACCCAAAACAACCCCCCCAGCCATCTTCTCATGCCAACAGAAGGAACAAGAGGAACCTCAGGGCCCTGGCAAACGCCGTTTGGGCTGGGCTCACCGTCCCTGCCAGCAAGCACGGAGGTGAAGCCAAGGCTCAGGGAAGTCTCCCGGCTGTTTGGGTGATTTGGGATGGGGTGCCAGACCCGGCGATGCTGAGATCAGCCGCTGTGCTTTGCCAATCATTGGGTAACGAGCAGCGTGCCCTCGGTTACACGACCCTGCGAGTGACCTACCATTAAAACCTAACAGGACCTGGAACAGAACCTCAAGTAATTAGATGTAATGGGCGCTCTCATTAGTGGGGGGGAGCTGCTGGTTTCTGTCAATTAGTGCGGGAGAACACGATGTGCAGTGTTGGACACGCGGATGAATGCAAAGTGCTGTTTGTGTTCATTGCTCCCAGGTGCTCTGCAGCTGAACCAGGACCATGTAACCACCTCTACGGAACAGCTCTTCTGGTTTTGTTGCTCTTTGAAGGTGCTTTTTAGTGGTGCTAGAACTAAAGTCCCTGTGTCCCCACCACAGCCCCAAATCCTGGGGGCAGATTGGTTTTTGATACATCCTTGTGAGGCTGGTCACGGGGATTAAAGATAAAATACTTGATCCACCAGATATCTGTGCCTTCCTTCTCTTTCTCACTTTTCCTCTATCCTCCCACCTTCCTTCCCACGCTGCAAGGACCAGAAACTTTTATGAATGTGTGCTTTTTTCTTTTCTTCTTTCTTTTTTTTTTATTTTTAGGTGTTTTATAGTACCAAAGGGATTTGAAGCAGCAGGGATGCTCCTGGAACTTAATAGGAAAATAAAACAAAAGATACTAGAAAAAGGTGGTGATTTATCAGCTATTTCCTGGCGTGGGACTCTGAGCTGTGCGTGCGTGTCCCAGGCAGACAGGGGTTTGCAGGGATGAGTGTGTGTTATGCATGTCTGGCAAGTTCAGCTCAGAGGCAGTATTTAGTCCTCAGGGATGTTTGTCATTTTGAAGTGCTCTTTCATTTAGGTGCAAATCAAGATCCAAAGCCTTGTGTGTTATAAATCAGCTGCACTTGTCTATCGCTTGTACCACTAGAGAATCTAATCTGGCAAAGGTCAATAAAGGTAAATTGGTCTCCAGTCTCCTTCTGCAAACCCCGAGTTTGCCAAGTCCTCATTCAAAACAGTAAAGCCTAAACGTTCAGTGCTCAATCTAACCAGATAATCTCCAAATGCATAACCAAGCAGCACACCAAGGCTCGGGGAAGTCTCCCGGCTGTTTGGGTGATTTGGGATGGGGTGCCAGACCCGGCGATGCTGAGATCAGCCGCTGTGCTTTGCCAATCATTGGGTAACGAGCAGCGTGCCCTCGGTTACACGACCCTGCGAGTGACCTACCATTACGTGCCCGCTGCTCAAAAAACATTTTCCTCAGCACGACTTGTATTCTCCAACTTTCTGCCCCTTTTGGGGGGGAATTAATTTGATTTATGCTTCTTTTCTACCAAAGGGATTTGAAGCAGCAGGGATGCTCCTGGAACTTAATAGGAAAATAAAACAAAAGATACTAGAAAAAGGTGGTGATTTATCAGCTATTTCCTGGCGTGGGACTCTGAGCTGTGCGTGCGTGTCCCAGGCAGACAGGGGTTTGCAGGGATGAGTGTGTGTTATGCATGTCTGGCAAGTTCAGCTCAGAGGCAGTATTTAGTCCTCAGGGATGTTTGTCATTTTGAAGTGCTCTTTCATTTAGGTGCAAATCAAGATCCAAAGCCTTGTGTGTTATAAATCAGCTGCACTTGTCTATCGCTTGTACCACTAGAGAATCTAATCTGGCAAAGGTCAATAAAGGTAAATTGGTCTCCAGTCTCCTTCTGCAAACCCCGAGTTTGCCAAGTCCTCATTCAAAACAGTAAAGCCTAAACGTTCAGTGCTCAATCTAACCAGATAATCTCCAAATGCATAACCAAGCAGCACATTTTCCTCCTGACGGAGCGTGACGTGACGCATAGACGTGTCAGAAGTGCTGCAGAGGGGATGTCCCTTCCCCATGTGTTGCAAACCCTTCGTCGCTCCATCTCTCCCTCTCCCCATAGGGGACCTTAAAGATAATGCATTTCCAACCCCCCTGCCCTGGGCAGGGACATCTCCCACCAGATCAGGTTGCTCAAATCCTGTCCAACTTGGCCTTGAACCCCTCCAGGGATGGGGCAAAATTGGGAAAAATACCCTGAGATATTACACATCCCCACGTTCCACCAAGAGCAAGGCTCTGCGCTGGGCAGGTGGGGGAAAATCTTGGGGGAATTATCTATACCTTCAGGTTTAAGCTTTGGTAAGTATGAAGCAGCATATTTTATTAAAGAATCCCTCTTTTCCCAGTTCCCATCTGAAGCAACGCACAGGACACACTCACAGAGAGCTGTGTGCTCCTGTCCTCTGCCCTGAGCTTCTCTGCCTGGGAGAGGGTGAGAGAAGACCCTCAAAACCAGCTTTTGCAGGTTGTTTTGACGTCATTGGACATGGCGAACCCAGAGATGGATCCAGTTTGTTTTTGTACACCTTACAGTTGGAGTCTGCAGCTTGGACCTCCCACAATTAATTTCCCATTTCCTTTTTTTTAAAGTGGCCTCTTTCAAAACCCAACTGCACACCCAAAACGAGCTTACCCAGACCAATTACAGGCAGAGGAGGATCGAAATAATGGGCCCAAGGCCAGGAGTGGAGTTGCCAGGCACAAAACTCCCACTAATTAGACGGAACAGTTAAATGACAAAACCCAGGCAGGGGCTGGGGGGGGCTGGAGGTGGAGTTTCTCACCGGAGCAGCGACCTTGGGGCAGCTTGAAGCACAGGTGCAAGGTGTGAGGTGGAAATCTCCATAGAGCGTGATGTGAGGCACAGATGTGTCAGAAGCGCTGCAGAGGGGATGTCCCTTCCCCATGTGTTGCAAACCCTTCGTCGCTCCATCTCTCCCTCTCCCCATAGGGGACCTTAAAGATAATGCATTTCCAACCCCCCTGCCCTGGGCAGGGACATCTCCCACCAGATCAGGTTGCTCAAATCCTGTCCAACTTGGCCTTGAACCCCTCCAGGGATGGGGCAAAATTGGGAAAAATACCCTGAGATATTACACATCCCCACGTTCCACCAAGAGCAAGGCTCTGCGCTGG